TGTACAGATTCAATCTTTTTTCTGAATATTGACGATACACTACTTAAGAAATCAATTGAATAATAAAACACGTCGAAATTATTCAGTGTGTTGTTCATATCATCTTCTAATAATACTGTTAGTAATTGTTGTAATAATGGATCTACTGGATAAGCTAAATTCGCCGTCATTTTAGAAAATCGTGAAAAAGAGGAAAAGTTTCTTTCTAATACGTTAGATAAAAATTTGTATAGAAATTTGATTGAAATAACAGTTATTATTTCGATGTATGTACTTTTAAAAAATTAGATTCTTGAAAAATTCCAGTAAAAAAGCCCACTTTTTATTTCTCTAAAGCAAATAACATCATTTTTGTTTTTGTTCTTATCATTCTTTCTTATTCATAGAACTTTCTTTCCAGTCTTCTCTCATCGAAGTACAATACCAAGCAGTGTTTATAGTGTATGTAACTTAAAGTAACACTCAAGAAATTTTTTTTAATTTATGACTAATGTTGATTCACTCGCACCACCACCACCAATAATATATACATTTTCTTGTTTCAGTTTTATTTATCTACGGTCTCAAATGACACATGGTTTTCTTGGTCATTTCTTTTTTCTAAATTCTATATGCTTTTCAAGACAAAGCCCAAATACATTTTTTCACATAAATTCCTATATATATATATCATACATTACTTAGTCGAAGTTAAAATCATCGGTGTGTGTAAAAGGAATAACTTCAAATGTTAGCTACGACAGCGCCTGATCCACCGATCATATTAAAACGACAAGTTATTGGACGCCCTGGTATCTGCGGTTCCCTATATGATGCAAAAAGAGACACAATCGACGAAATTCCAAGAGAAAGGACAAGATTATCAATAACTCGCAGTAAAATCTATCAGGGACCCGAATGTTATTCTTATACTGGTGCTAGTACAGATGGTGAAAAATTAAAACAACTTAAATTAAATAATGCAGCTGCACTCAGTGTTCTATTTCGAGTAGTGCCAGATTTAAATGAACATTCGAAGTATATTTATTCAAAACAAAATAATCGCACATTCACTATAACCTTTTATCACTGTACAGAAGAGGTATCAATCACAGATAAGGAACAGGTTGTTAAGGAAAATGCTAGACGAGCTCATTCAGCGACCCATATTATCACAGGTGGTATCAAGTGCGGAGTTAAAGCAATAGCAACTTTCGAATTAGATTCTATTGCATCGAAAGATCAGTCAATCAACAATTTGGTACAACGAATGTGTGATTATCTTCGTATGCCTGACTGTAATTACGAGGATTTCTTTAAAAATGATGAAAACAAACTCACGGAAGATTAATGACACATATCCAGTTTCAAGAAGCTATTTAAGTACTGCTAAAACGGTTATTCGACACATTAAAAGAACTTCAAATGAAATTCGAAAGGGATCAAGCAACTCAATGCCACTTGCATATGAATTATATCCGTTGACAACAAATCGAAAAAATGTTATTGATTATGATATTCATCCGAACATACTATCATCAATACTAAAACAGTGGGATGATATGAACAACGCGCTGAAGAATTTCGAGGTTTTTTATTATTCAATTGGTTACTTAAGTAGTGTATCATCAACATTCAGAAAAGAGGCCGAATCTGTACG